TGTTTCTTCAAATCAGGAGAAGTGATAGGAGAAAACTGTAGTGCCAATCACAGAGATGAAACAGAGTGTGTCAAGGGACAAATCCCATCAGGAGGCCTTTGTGTGCTGCTTTTTTTTTTTGGCTTTTTGGGTGGGCTGGAGTGATTGCACAGTGGTAGGGCATTTGCCTTTTGGGTGGGCTGGAGCGATAGCACAGCGGTAGGGCGTTTGCCTTGCACACAGCCAACATGGCCAACCCGAGTTCGATTCCTCCGCCCCTCTCAAAGAGCCCAGCAAGCTACCGAGAATATCTCGCCCACACGGCAGAGCCTGGCAAGCCACCCGTGATGTATTCGATATGCCAAACACAGTAACAACAAAATCTCCAATGGAGACGTTACTGGGCCTGCTCAAGCAAATTGATGAACAACGGGAGGGCCTTTACCTTACCTTTACCCTTTTTTTTTTTTTGGCTTTTTGGGTGGGCTGGAGTGATTGCACAGTGTTAGGGCATTTGCCTTGCGTGCAGCCAGCCTGGCCAAGCCTGGTTCAATTGCTCCGCCCCTCTCGGAGAGCCCGGCAAGCTACCGAGAGTATCTTGCCTGCGCGGCAAAACCTGGAAAGCTCCCCGTGACCTATTCAATCTGCCAAACACAGTAACAAGAAGTCTCACAATGGAGACGTTACTGGTGCCTGCTCGGGCAAATTGGTGAACAACAGGAGGACATTGCTATAGTGCTACAACCTAAACTAATCACAGGTTCACCATGGAGACGTTACTGGGCTCGCTTGAGCAAATCGATGAACAATGGGAGGACAGTGTGGACAGTGTGGACTCAGTGATGCACAGGGGTTACACTCCTGGCAGTGCTCAGGGGACCATATGAAATGATGGGAATAGAATCCTGGTTGACTGCGTGCAAGGCAAATGTCCTACCTGCTGGACTATCACTCCAGCCCCTGAGCTTTCCTTTTGGTGCTTTTTGGGTGGGGGTAAGGACGAACATCACATGTCTAAGGATCTGGCTTGGGGAGAGGAGAGTATAGTTTCCTGTTGAGGCTCTAATGAATTACGCAGACTGGATGGCTTTCAGTGGTATGTCAGGAGTCTCTGAGGACTCTAATGAAGCAGGAGGAGGCACCTCTTTTTCTCTCTTTACCTTTCCCAGAGTCTAGAGAGAGCCGTCATTTCTTGGGCTGTGGCCCCTTCTCCATTGAAGGTCCCAAATGACCGACCAAATCTTTTTCACAGTGCATCCTCCAACCCTTCTCTTTTTGTCTTCCCATTTCCAAGTTGAAGGAGTCCCATGTTGGCACTGAGGCCCCTCTTGGAGGCTTCACCACTTCTCAAGATCAGCTTCTTAGCTATCATTATGCCTGTATCTATGCCTTCATTCCACCCTGTACCGGAAATCCTTTTTTTTTTGGCCCGGTAACCTAAACTAATCAATGAGTAACGGGATGTTAAGTGATCAAGTGATAGGCATACAATGTTATTGTACCACATCCATCACCAAAGTGACATCCTTCTCTTCACTGTCCCTTCTCGTTCCCTCACCCAATATCACTTAACAGGTTCAGTTCAATAGGCAGAATCTCACGATTTATTCTCATTGGCTCTTATTTTGCTTCTTATTATTTAAAATATCATTTTAACAATAGTACCAATACTATTATTTTATATTCGCAGTGCTGCTCCACCACCAGAGTGCCAGAATGAGTGTACCATGCTTTGTTTTCTTATATTCCATATGAGCAAGATTATTTGATGTCTCTCTTTTCCTCTCTGATCACTTCATTTATCACGACACCTTCAATTCCAAGTTGTAGCAAACAGCAAGATTTATCTTTCATAGATGAGGGGTGGAGCATTAGCACAGAGGGTAGGGTGTTTGCCTTGCACATGGCCGACCTGGGTTCGATTCCTCCATCCCTCTTGGAGAGCCCAGCTAGCTATGGAGAGTATCCCGCCCGCACGGCAGAGCCTGGCAAGCTCCCTGTAGCGTATTGATATGCCAAAAACAGTAACAACAAGTCTCACAATGGAAACATTACTGGTGCACGATCAAGCAAATTGATGAACAACGGGAGGACAGTGCTATAGTGCTACAACCTAAATTAATCATAGGTTCGAGGGATGAAGGTTTGCAAATCATTATTCTGTCCCTCACAGAGAGAGGAATAGAAATGGTAAGTCTTTGACATCTACTGAGCAGGAGAATGGAAGCACCATGAGGAGATGTCAGGAGGCTTACAGGGATGACAGATTTGAGATGGAAGCTGATGGGTCCCGTCAGGCATGTCCTGACTTGGCACGCTCCTGGGAATTGAAGCAAAGACTTGTGAGTGTGGGACAGGGAATGTTGAATTTTTCTCTGTGAGGTGTGCACCTGGAACTTTCAGAGGGAGCACACGAAGTATCAGCCACCTGGGATGGCATTGGGATGGAAAGCTATACCTTTCACAGACACTTGGGCTTGGGAGAGCTATCAGACACCAGCAGTGGTTCAAGAAGAAAACCAGGAAAGTACAGTTCAGTGATCCACAGAATGAGAGGGAGGGAAAGAAGAAAGGGAGAGAAATAGCATATCATCATGTTCCATCCAGGTAGATCTTAGTTTCATTTTCTGTGTTAAGGAAGTGCTTTCTTCAGAACTCCTGAATCTGGACCAGAGAGAGTAGATAAGGCCTTGCATGTGGACAACCTAGGTTCGATCTCAGCATCCCGTATGGTTCTCTAAGCATTGCCAAGAGTGATTCCTAAGTGCAGAACCTGGAGTAGCCCCTTCAGCATCACCAGGTGTGCCCAAAATCAAAAGGGAAAAAAACCCCAACTGGATGCAGAAGTTCTGAATCTGTAAGTCTTGAAAAGATATTGCATTCAACACACACCCCCTGCCGGGTCTAGTCCCACCCGGGATGAAAGACCCCAGCTCTTTCACATCTTTTAGGTGTGAGTACAGGGAGTGGTAGGATTGGAGGGAACATCTGTGTGGACACTCACCCAGGGGTGCTTGGCTAGGGAACAGCCAACCTGCCCATCATCCTGGATCACCCACTCACATTCCACCCACTCCCTTAGGCCCTGTTGGAGGCTACAGTGGACAGTGCACAGCAGCGTCAACTCTGAATAGTTGCCGTTCCCAGTTGGTTGCAAGAAGTTCCCATGACTACCCACATCCTCCTCAGAATGAGGACCAATCAGCCCATTCAGAAAAAATGTTGAGCTATAGAATATCCTGGCAATAATATGCATGTGGGACTTCCTTCCATTGTAGTTAAGGCTAAGAATCCTCCCCCCCCACACACACTTTTGTGGTTTTTTTTTTTAAGACAGGAATTTAGACAATTGGGAGAAAACAGATATGTTTTGTTCAAAGTTCCCCCACCCCCTTCTACTTGCTGAAGCCTTGCTCATCTTCTGAAAACCACTGCACACTGCTTCCTTCAGATGCTTCTTTTGTCCTCTGCCTTTGGCACATATCTTGTGTTACATTGCATAACAGTGTGTTCATATGTTTTCTCTCTGGATGGACCATAAGATCTCTGAGGTAGAGGTCAGGCTTTATCGTTATTTTTCCCTGAACCAAAACGCTGGAGCAAATTTGATACTTCTTTTTTTGTTTGTTTTGTTTTGGTATTGTTGTTTTTGGTGTAGGGTTTATACTCAGCGCTGCTCAGGGCTTACTCCTGACTCTGTTCTCAGGGCTCCCTTAGGGCAGGCTCAGGGGACCATATGGGTTGCAGGGGATCAAACCTGGGTCAGCCACATGCAAGGTAAGCGCACTATCTGCTGTACTATCACTCTGGCCTCCTAAGTTTGATATTTGGTGATAGACTGAACAGTGCTTTCATTTCTCTAAAAATGCTACATTAAAAGAAGCTAGAGGATAGCTATTCTATATTTTTAGGTGGGAGAATGGCAGCGTGCTTATGAGCTACAGTTTGTCTAGTAACTTCACAAAAACTTTATCTCTATACAAAAGAACATCTAGATCAAAATGGAAAAAATGGGGTAGAGTATATGGAATCAAATCCCTCTTTTTTCAGCAGTACATGGGCAGAGGATTCTGAAAACTGAACTGCACTTTGCATTTAGATATTTTGTCATCACCTCCTACAGGTAACTGACTTTCCCATGTGGATACTTGCACCAAGCCCCAGGCCAAGCACTGTGGCAATAATAAAATAAATAGACTCCAGTTCTGAGCAGCAGCTGTGTGAGCAGGCTTCCATTAATTGCCTCCAAGCACTCACCCACTCATATCGGGGTGACTTCCTATCCCCTCTCATTTCCCTCTACATGGAAACTTGCACGCGTGTGTTCAAGTCCTCCTCCATGCACACTATGTTGGCCACCCACCGTTTTCTTCATACCTTTCCAGTGGAAATTTTTATTCTGCATTTTCACTAGCTTTATGTGTGTCCAGTACACGGGTTCAGCAGAATAGGTTCTGCCGCCCAGTTTCTCTTGCTTTTATGAATACTGTTTTATTGGATAGCAATTCATTCCTTTATGTCCTGGGTATGATGGTGGTGGAATTGAGTAGTTGCAACGGAGACTGACTGACTTCAAGGCCAAAAACATCTGTCTTGCCTTTCCCCGACAATGTTTGCTGACCTCTGTAAGATCAAGAGAGTGGCTTGGTGGTTTTTGTTTGTCTGCTTTTTGTTTCAGCCCCAGCATTGGCACATTTACTGACTCAAAGCCAAGAACTCTGGAGGCCTACTGCATACACAGTACCTTTTTCAGGCACCAGCGGTACATTACAGAATTGCATTGCGAAGTTGGCTCTCAGAGAGCCTCCATTCTCACAGTCGGGCAGTAGAGAAAGAGAGAGCAGTGAACAAACCAAGAAACTCAGCGATAGTCTTAAGGAAAAACAAACTGGGGTGGAGGAATAATTGCCAAGATGAGAAAGTGTGTGTGTGTGTGTGTGTGTGTGTGTTGTATTGATGATGGTTGTGGGAGCTGGGGGGCTGGTTTTAAGGGAATTTACAAAGAAAGCAGCTCCAGAGCAGAGTTCTGTGGATTTCAACGACCTTGTGAGAGGGAATTGGGACGTGCTTGGCATGTTTTGAGGAATCACAAGGAGTCCATGTGCCCAGAGCAAAACAGGCGTGGCATGGGAGGAAATGAGGTCACTGTCTGAGTCTGTTTCCTCGGGTTGGTTTTATTCTGGTGCTTTTGACAAACCCTCGGAGGGTCGAACAGAAGACCGGCAGCTCTGTCGTCCTTGCCTGGCAACTTTGAGTAGAGGGTCAATCAGGGTAGGGGCATGAGGGAGTCGAACCCAGGTGACCTGTTAGAAAGCACTTGTGTTCATCCACGTCAATGTAGTGGTCCATGGGCAGTGAGTAGAGGTGGTGGGTTCTGGCCTCTGGAGCCACCTCTGAGCTTGGCACTCAGTAAACGTGAGAGTTTCCATTGAGGTCAACAGAGGATTCACCTGTAGCAATCCCAAGTAGACCATGGGACCATGGTGCCTAGCTAAGAATTCAGTCATCAGAGTTTTCCAAATGTGATCGACACCCGTCCCTCTCCGGAGCTCTGGTGGTGGGCATTGTCCTCCTTCCTTTTACCGGATGACAAAGCAAACCAAAGGGCTCCATGGTTTTCCTTGAACATGAATGTTTCTGGTGGAGAGAGAGAGAGAGAAGAAATTTAATTTAGCAATAACTCTGCAGTGTAATGATCAACAAGTAAAAACTCTTTCATTTCTTTCAAGCCCTCTGTTGAGTTGAGTGGGACCCAGTGGGTCGGTGCATTTCTCACAGTAGCACTGGGTTTCCGTTGCAAGTTGGGGAAAGATGGTCAGGCTTCACTGTTTCTGGCCTCAGCTGCTCATTATTTCTTTCTCTCCTAGTTGACTTCAGCAACTGGCTGCTTTAAAAAAAGAAAAGAATCAGGCTTAGAGGAAGTCAGGAGTTCTTTTAATTTTTAGCCAACTGAGCACATATTTGTCACTTTTAATCATCAGTTACCAGGAAGTAGAGAACAAGAACATTATTTTAACAAGGTGCCACTTGGTATTTCTGATGGATGCTGTTTTTCCGAAAGGGTTAGGGCATTCTAGAAGTTGGGATTTGGGTAAATAGATAGAGCAATGAGTGCAAAAGAGGTGACTGTCAGAATCACTGAACATGCTTTGGAGGTGAAGTCCGCCTTCTCCCAAATAGTACTGAGAAGGTTCCCCGGAAGGCGAGCTGAAGGCCACCCGTCTGTGTTTGTTCTTTGCAGCCCTCTTCCCCAGACCTCTGCTAATGGCCTTGAAAGACAGGTTTAAAGCAAGATGCTTGCTTCCCTGGCCCGCTAACAAGCACTCAGGCATCTTCCCCTTTAACAGACCAGATTTATGTGGGATTCCTCCTCCCCCTCCCCTTCCTCAGGGGAAGGCAGGCTAGAATTTACCAAAGCAGCAGCCTGCAGGGGAGTGACAGAGCTGGCAGGGGTCATGCCCCAGCCAACACATGGCCCTGAGTGTGAGGCTGGACACTGGCCAGCCCTGCCCTGTGCTACCACAGTGACAAGCCTTTGATGTGAGCTTTTAGCACCAATGGGCTGTGTGGGGTCTCTCAGAGGCCATCTAGTACTGATTTCTACAGTGTAACCATGACCATTATTATAACTTATCAAATGAATATGGTAGTCACAAAATACTTATTCTGATGAACTGAATCGTTCTTAGTTGTTGATCCTGAAGTTCACTGCGGCTCCTAAAATGGGCCTCGGATAGTTGTCTCTGCATCTCTCTGCCCATCCATATCCTACTGCTGAATTCAACAATAAAATTATTTAGAAGAGTAACGAAAACCTGCCAGAAACATCTCTATCACAATCCTCTTTGGGCCAGTCAGTGCGTTTTTCCCCCAGGATATGTTTTGGAAACTGACATCCCATATTTTTAAGTATTATCATTTCCACTGAAATCCTGCACTTGATTTCATGCACATTTTATGCCCATTTCAACAGTAAGTGCCTCTCTGCTTCTTGGAAGCCTGATTCGTTACTACATAGTCACAAATTCTGAAAGCACACAGAACTTAACATGTAAATTTGTAAATTCCCACTTATGAAAGACTCCACAGTTCATTAATGACCGTGTCTTCATTTTAGTCCTCAATGCCAGGCCAAACTTGGCGGTGATACAATAAGATTATTGTGATTAAATACAAATGATGGAAATGACAGTTGGAAAAACTTGCCAGTTTGGACCAAGGCCCTTCAAAAGACAAAACTGCAGCGGTGTGTGTGTGTGGGGGGGGTGGGGGATAGGCCTGCCATTTTTAGTGACTAGGATTTGGAGAAAGAGTGTGTCAGAGTGCTGACTTGGGGTACCCCCACCCAACTTGCAGAGTGAAAAGAAAGGATTATCCAGAATATAGGCACTTCCCCCTCCCATGAGTTGGGTCTTGAATCATTCTGAGATGCATTCAAAACTGACAGGCCCCTCCGCCCCCAGTGACCTTTCCACCTAATCCGATCTTACCGTGTTTCCAGATAGCTGATCAGCTGCCTTGGATTTTGCTGATGATCCAAGAGAGTTTTGCTTGAAGATGGAAACACTGGAGTCGGAGCTGACCTGCCCTATTTGTCTGGAGCTCTTCGAGGACCCTCTCCTGCTGCCCTGCGCACACAGCCTCTGCTTCAACTGTGCCCATCGCATCCTGGTGTCGCACTGTGCCACCAACGAGTCTGTGGAGTCCATCACCGCCTTCCAGTGCCCCACCTGCAGGCATGTCATCACTCTCAGCCACCGCGGTCTAGACGGGCTCAAGCGCAACGTCACCCTGCAGAACATCATTGACAGGTTCCAGAAAGCGTCTGTGAGCAGTCCCAATTCCCCCAGCGAGACCCGCCGCGAGCGTGCCTTTGACGCCCACACCATGACCTCCGCCGAGAAAGTGCTCTGCCAGTTCTGTGACCAGGATCCTGCCCAGGATGCCGTGAAGACCTGTGTCACTTGTGAAGTGTCCTACTGTGATGAGTGCCTGAAAGCCACTCACCCGAATAAGAAGCCCTTCACGGGCCACCGTCTGATTGAGCCAATTCCGGACTCGCACATTCGGGGGCTGATGTGTCTGGAGCATGAGGATGAGAAGGTGAATATGTACTGTGTGACCGATGACCAGTTAATCTGTGCCTTGTGTAAACTGGTTGGGCGGCACCGAGATCATCAGGTGGCAGCTTTGAGTGAGCGCTATGACAAATTGAAGGTTAGTCCGATCCGCCTTAAGCCAACCCCTTTCTGCCAGCGAATGTCATGGAAATAAAAAGTGTATTCACTGCTAGCTGTGTGGCAGGTGAAGGTCTGTTCTTCACCTTTGTTATCTGATGAGTTGTAGCATGCTTTTTGGCAGCCTCTAAACGTTACACAATAAGGGTATCTTGTAAAAGTTGACTGCTGGTTGTAATTTCAGCGTTGTCAAGGTGAGGGCAAATCCACAAAGTCTGGATCATTTTCAATCCTTGCAATTGGGGGCGGGGGCGAGGGGGAGAGGAAAAGGGAGTGCGGGAGAGAGAGAAAACAAGGTGGAAGGGTAGATAAAGTTGGGCTTCGGGCATCTTGTGGGGCGGCATTTATTTTTCTGCTAATCAGGGTAAATGAATTTCACTGCTTGTGTGCCAGGATCCCATTACTACCCAAAGCCAAGGAGAAAGTAAGGAATGCCCGCAGCAATTGAGGGATCTGAGCACACATGACCCCTCTTTCCTACTGTAATGATATCCAACTTATTGGTGAACTAGAGCGCTCGACCAGCTCTGGTTTCTCCATAGAATTCCTGGCCGTGCTGGTTTCTTGCTTATTCAGAAAGGTCCCAGGCAAAATGATGGCTTGAACCTTGCTTTTAACATGAAATGATTAACCCAATTCCAGTTTGAGGAATGATAATGAATATGACTGTACATCAAATTAAAACCTCCCTCTCTGAATCTGAGTAGAATGCACCAGGGAAGAGACGGGCCAACACTCCAGACGCCTGTTCGACTTCAGGCTACGGGTGGGTCTAATTATTGACAACTCAGGAGAGAGAGAGAGAGAGAGAGAGAGAGAGAGAGAGAGAGAGAGAGAGAGAGAGCACTTGGAGAGTGAGATCTGCAGTTCAGTAGCTAATTTTAGATCACAAGATACCAATTAAAAGGAAAGGAAGTATAAATTAAGAGCTTCCAGTAAATATATATCGAAGTCCCATCCTCTCAGGAGAAACACAAACAAACTGAATCTCATGCTTAAGCGGTTCTTACCCCCACAGAACCCAGTGTCACCTTTAGCAAATGGTTCTTGTCACTTTGCGCTAATGCGTTTGCCAGGACTTCAGAGTTGAGTTTGTGCCGATGGGATCCCAGGCCACATCTGTGGTTTGGCTTCACTGTTCCTTGTGATCCTGAGGGAAACTGACATGTGGAACTGAGGCTCAGCTTCTAGATGTCACCTGGGCAGCAAAGGCTTCACCTGGACTGGCCTCCTACACAGGGCAGTGACAAACAGGGCTAAGGCAGGCTTACCCAGGGAGAGGAAGTAGTTCAAAGATTTAGCCAAAACCCCACCTCAAATCAGTAAGAGCAAATGCAATGCAGGTCCTGGGACTGGAGTTTTGGATAATGCAGTGGATAGTGGCTAATACAGTGCCTTGCATGCGGCCAACCCGGGTTCGATTCTCAGCATCCCATATGGTCCCCCTGAGCACCGCCAGGAGTAATTCCTGAGTGCATGAGCCAGGAGTAACCCCTGTGCATCGCTGGGTGCGACTGAAAAAGACAAAAAAACAAAAAAAAAATAAATAAAAAATAAAAAGGTAATGTAGGTCCAGAATGTGCCTTTAAAATGCGTTCGTCAGAAATGAGATGAGTTTTCCCTTCTTCTGCCCTTCTGAACTGTTCCATTGAGTAGATGAGTACCATCTCTAACACCCGTTTACTAAGGCACCACTATGTCTCCTGAGCAAATCCCAGACTTGCTCCGTAAACCTGGTAGCCAAGTTCCGCTCCTTGGGCGCTGTCACTGACTGGGCAATTATTCATTCCTTACCTAACACTCCAGACTTCTGGAAACTACTCTCTAGCCCCTTTAGTGATGAAATTGAAACTTTTCTAAGCAAGCCCATGGTCCTTGAGACTGTCAGTAACAGCGTGTGGCAACTAACCATGTCATAATTTTATCTTCTGATGACAAAACAGAGGCATAGAAACGGCACCCAGAGCACTAAAAACACTTTTATAGCCACTCAGCAACATCAGCGTTGCATTCCACAAGATGTGCTTGCTGCCGTTGAACCAAAAAAAAGTGGCTTCACATGCTTGTTCTGAAACATGCCACTGAAGTTAGAGTAAAGAAGCACCAGTGTAGAAGACATGTGGATGCCTGGGATGTTTCAGTGATCACACATTCATGAGCATATGGACTTGCCTTTTGAAACGCCTAACTGCAATAGACACTGGGTTTTGAAGAAAGAACCAAAGCCAATAAAGTATATTTACGTTCATCTCCTGATCTGATGTCAGATGGCTTATCCATTAGGTTATGTGGTCTTCTGCATATTTATGCTGATTATTATTTTGGTCTGAAAGGGTAAACATGTTCTTTCAATACTTCTCTTTTTATTTTTCTTTTGGGGGTGCTCCCAGCAACGCTCAATGCTCAGGGAACCATAGAGCCACTGCTCTCGCCCTTCAACATGGGTTTTAGCCTTTTTATAGAAATAGTTTTGCAACGATGCCTGTAGAAAATTGAAATCTCACTTACTTGGGTATGTGAGGTTCCAGTGCCTTCTATGAAAACATTTTTTTCCTTCCATTAGTGAGAGTTCATTATATAAAGAGGGGAATTCTTTGATGCCATGATGAATAATTATTTCTTGCAAAAATACTAAATTTGGGGGAGACATTTTAACTAATTTGGGTCTTAATTCACATGTACTTCTAGAAGAGATCCAAATATAATTTTGCACATTAAAATTTTTTTGGCATGATAAAAGTTCCAACACATAGAATGCATGCAAATAAAGTCACCCCCGGCATGTGAAATAGTGCCATGCCAGTAATTTCGTGCTTTCAGAAACTCTGAATTGAGAAGCACTCTTGAAATACCAAAGCAAAGAAGAAAATTAAGCTAGTATTTCCTGAACTCTTAAGATTAAAAGAGAAAGCCTTCTTGCCAAATGTGTAAGTCTCTAAATGGAGCATATCATAATGTAGACCTTTTTACATCATTTAAATTGAATTTTAGCAACTGCTCAGACCTCCAAACTTGGATTAAAAGTTTGGTTTGTGAACCATAAAACACAGAAGTTAACGTAATGCATTCCAGAGTTTTCAAGGAATTACACTGCAGTAATTCCTTTTCTCATGTTCCAACATACAATGTCAGAATTCTTATTTCTTTTCTGGGGGAGGCACACCCAGTGCTGCTCCAGGGATAGTTCTGACTCTGCACTCAGTAATCAATCCTGGAAGTGCTCAGGAGACCATATCAGATACTGGGGATTAAACCCCAGTCTGTGGCCACAAAAAAAGTAGGCGCTCTAACCGCTGTTAGGCTTATTGCTCTGGCCTTCGGGTTTCTTTTCTCTATTACACCTATAAAAATATATGAATTGAAACCAATTGACCTTTCCTAGCCCTTTAATTTCAGCATGACCCTGAGTTCAAGTTAGCTGACGCTAATACTCTAAAGTACTGTTTGCTGTTCTTATGCTAAAATTTGGCTGAATATGCTTATTTAATGCTTCGTTCCTGGATCATCCCATGGTCATTTTGTCATCTGTCGTCTGTCATTTTTTCTCTGTATCCTTCTCATCTGGAGATACAGACATGGGGTTGCACTTTTGGGTTTCATTTACAGGTTGTGAACGTCTATGTGAAAGTCTCATCCTTTATTTGCCATTAGAAAGTTAGAAGTGAAGATTGAGCTGTGTATATTTAAGCTTCCTCTATGTTTTCTTTTTCTGTTCCTTCCCATTCCCTTCTCACTGGTGTGAGGTAATATCTCTTTGTCATTTTGATTTGCATTTCCCTATGTTTTGTATTTATGTTTTGGGGCCACACCTGGCCATGCTCAGGGGACCATATGTGTTGCAAGGCATCCAGCTGGGATTGCAGGGACAGCCCATACTATGCAAGTGTCTTAACCTTTGTACTATATTTCTGGCCCAAATTTCCCAATTTTTTTTGTTTTTGTTTTTTGGGTCATACCCGGCAATGCACAGGAATCACTCCTAGCTCATGCACTCAGGAATTACTCCTGGCAGTGCTCAGGGGACCACGTGGGATGCCGGGAATTGAACTCGGGTTGGCCGGCCACGTGCAAAGCAAACACCCTCCCCACTGTGCTATCGCTCCAGCCCCTTCAATATTTTTAATAGTAAGCAAGGCCACATTCTTCTCTTCCTCTGATCCATCTATTCCTCTGATGAGTCTCCTTCCTTTTTCCATCGCCTTAAGATTGGAATGTACAATTTCTTATTACTGGAAGAATTTTCTATAAGCTCTGAGAGCATGTGCTGCTAAGAACACAGTACATGTTGTGGCTGTATAAACAAATGGAACTCTTGGCACACTTTCTAAGCCATTGGGCTGCCTTGTCCTGCTTTGTAAAACAAGACTAGTAAAGTGCTTATCTGCAAAGATACGTTAGGGTACAAATTAATATGTTGCAAGTAACCCTCGACACAAAGGAAGCCTGTACTCTATTAGGACATAGCAACATCGGCTCAAACCCAGGTGGAATGATGGTGTGATGGTGAAGGCGTGGGCTTCTGTCATAGCCTTTTGAACCACTGCACGTATGATTTGTGTGTGAGATAAGGGTCCATGTCGTGGCTTTAAGAAGTTGTGTCGTCTTATTTCTAAAGCACCTGGCAAAGGGCAGAGGCATAACCATGAATAAACACTTGTTGATGGACGTGTGCAGAATTGATGGGTTGGGATTTGGAGGAGGAAGAAGACCGGTTTTGAGTAGACAAGAAACCTGGCTGCAGGGTGGTGGGATTTAAGCTGCCCTGACAGATAGGGGGATTATGCATCAAAGAAGAGTGAGGTGTTCCTTGGGAGCGAGGCCAGCAGAGACCTGTTGGCAGGAACTGGCAAGACAGCTTAGCACTTCCAGACAATGCTGGCTGGAGCACAGGG